CAGCACCACTTTTGTTCTTCCTACATCTGTTTCCTCAACGTACTACCAATCGCTTTACCCTACTGTTAGCTCAGTTCCAGAGAAATAAGTACTTTCCAGCTGGGTTTTAGTTCCCTCCGAAGCAAGCTAAATTTAATATCTTTTCACCTAAAATTGGTCCCCCTTCTGCGAAATTTGTCGCTCGGCGATCGAGAATACAGGCCTTTCGCAACGCGCCGTTGGTGTGACGGCACAACGTCGTACGCAGGGCTGCTGTCCTTTTCTGGAAAGGAACATCATTGTGAATTTGGGGGAAACAGAGAACGAGAGAGCAAAATTCAGTTGAATACAGCCTGGAAAGGGAAATTTGCTCCAAACACTTCTCCGTTCCTTGAAATTTTCCACCGACGAGTGGTGGGCAGTAGTAGGTAGAGAAGTGATAAAGCAGCGTAAGAACACTGGGAAGTGAGAGGGTAAGTGACAGCATTCAGGAGAATTTCTGGTTTTTCCAGGAAGCAAATAGCAGCAGCACTTTGGTGCCTTTATTCACAGCGATTTGCGGTGCCGATGAAGACAAGAAAGTGTGTACTAGTGTTGTGCACTCCCGGGAAAAGCGACCTTTAATACTGCCTTCTGCACAAAGCATTGGGTAAGTAATGGGCCCCGCCTGAAATGCGAGGGGGGATTGGAGCTGGTCATGCTCTGAAGGCAATTATTGAAATTCGGGTTCGGCTTCATCCGGTTGCGGCTGGGGCTACAGAAATCATTAGTATGCCCTCTCCGGGCTAAACTTAGAACTCGAATTTTAGTTTGATTGGTGGGGCTGAGGGTAGGTGAGGGAGGGGAAGGAGTGGGGGTGTACGTTTAGGTCGCAGAGGTCGTTATAAAGGGAGGGAGGGAGGGGGATAAGTGCGATACCGACTAAGCTTGCCCGAAAGTAAGAACTTGAGGCTGAGATGGGAATTATGAATTATATAAATAAATTACAGCTTCCAGGTCAACCCTGGAAGTGCAGATGGTGGGAAAGTGATGAAGGTTGGTGGTGAGAGTGAGATAAGACGTTTCGGTCCATTAAGTTATATAAGTTTATGATGCTAAACAAGAAATTTTTCCACTCAGCATTTAATTTCTTGTTTAGTCACTGTAAACCTATAATCGAATGAGCTGACAGAAAACATAACGATGTTGTGGGCAACAAAGTTAAACTGCAATGACCGAAGTACGAACGATTATCATGCAACAACACGGCAAAACTGCTAAAACCCGATAGATATGCTTCCAAATCATTTTGAAAATAAAGCGAAGCCCACGCACTTGTGTTTTTTTCGTTTTGTTTTTTTATTCCTTCGAGTTCGGACCTTTGTTTTTAGTGAAATTTGGACTGGGTAAGCAGCCATGCGATTTGTACGACGTCACACGGCTACCATAGGCGGATCCAGTAGGGACCCTGGCGTGGGAGCGGGGGGAGGCGGGGAGGAGGAACCACGGGGAGTGGGGCGGTGAGTGGGAGAGGCGTGGGGCGAGGCCTGGGCGGATCCAGAACAGACCCCTGGAATTATGCAAAAACTAGGAATAGAGTTGTAACACACTGCCACTTAGAGTTACTTTAGTTTTAGCTTTAGACCCGGGCTTTTGCAACATTGGTACCTGTGCCACCTCTTTGCCAGGAGACCCCTCCCCCCTCTCCCCATGTCCGCCTATGCTCACCGCTTTAAAAGCCTATTGAAACATAAAAGCCGGAACACTAGCATACTTGCGTACACATATATTTCTCGTGTCCTCCGCACCAACCTCACAAACGAGTGCATTTCCTCCCCCCTCCCCCCTTTCCCCACGTCCCTTCCTCCCAATAAGCGAGTGCATTTTGTGCGGACGAGCCAAGTTTCGACAATTTTTTGCGGTGAGGGTGCGCTACGCGTCCCGCTTTTATTTTCTACCGCACTAAGTGAGGTCTGAACCCCTCTGCAGTCAGTAACCTTGTTCGCTCCCTCCAGTTTTGACTCTCGAGACCTAAAGCCCATCAACCCCCCATTCTCCCCTTCTCCTCCCTCAATCTTTGACCTCCGTCACATCGCTATTCGTCCCTCAACCCGGTCAAGCCAAGCCGAGTCGAGTTTCAGTAGTTTCCATGAATATGACATCCCGGTGGCTTGGAGAGCGGGGTGCCCGGTATGTTAAGCGGCAAATCAGGGTTACTGTGTCTACTGATTCTGTACTAAATCTCATTACCATTCCAGGAACTGGTGATTTTTTCCCCTGCATTTTTCTACCCACGTCCTTCATGTTTGTTTGCTTTGTTATCCAAAATTTTCATTTTCATTTTTCAGCACCGTTGCGACTCTTGGATTGTGTGGTACCAATTTTCTCCTGCATTTCATTTTTCTGCTTCTTTTGAACCGTCTCTGCCTTCCACTGATGATTGTAGTTCTCGAAGCTTTCTATTTTTTGTTTCTTTTTTTTTTCGCTTTTCTTTTTTTTTTCGATTATGGTTTGATGCATTAAAAGTAAAAGGCAGTACGGGCCTCAAAGACCCTGTGGAGGAAAGGAAGAGGGTAGTAACCAGGGCCAGGAACAACGGCCCATTAAAATGGGCATCAAAACTTGCAGCGCTATTTCTAAGTATACTGTCAAAAAGCTTGTCACGACATTTGCACATTTTTTTGAAACATCGCAGAATGTTTATTTGGCGTACTTATACCACCTCTCCCCGCTTCCTCGTCCTCTTCCCCCCCCCCCCCCCCCCCCCCCCCCCC